CTGAAGACCCGAACTGTCTTAACTAATTTGTCTCAGCACCTTTTTTTCCTTCTCAGCTTTCTGTGAAGGAAGAGGACTGGAGGAAAGACATGTCAAGAAGGCCAAGCAAGGGAAGATGAACACAACCAGTGCCCGTTATAGGGAGAAGACACCTCTGGAGTGGATGAGCTAACACTTCTCAGAGGTGTCCGAGGTGACCAGAAGAATTCCTGGGGAGCCACTAATCATAAAGTAAAAGCATTAAAAATGACACACTAGATGTCCCAGTCTTTGTCTGACAGCCTGAAATGCCTAGATCTTCCACTTGGTTCAGTGCTCCAGAAGACATACTCCTGTCACATGAACCTGACAGAAGCTCCATCCCTCCCAAATAAAAAACACCTTATGACACAGTAGGAAGAATCTAGTGACACCCTGTTTATCAAAATCACCGTCATGTTGTTGTACATTGACTGCTGGATGATGGCGACAATGTGTGGGAGGAATATTTGGTACACACACACCCAACAACTCAGCATTGCTGCCCACAGCCATATAGATGGGACTTCTTTGTGGACCCAACAGTCTGAGCCCTGAAACTGTCCAAGTACACAGAACAGACCCAGAGGAATGGAGAAGCGTCCATGACTGTGACTGAAGATGGCAGTAAAGGCTAGATGCCACCAAAGGCACCAGAATTGACTGAAAAAACATGCCTCATATATTGGGAGTCTTTTGCGAACATAAGCAGGCTGGAGCCTTGGATGCAGGCTGCTCATAGGGAACTTGACATGAGGTGTTAAGCTACTCCAGCACTAAGAAACACCATCAGTTTATAACTCCCTGTCCCTGAGATGAGAAGGAATCGATTCTTAGTCCCTATATTTTGTGGTCAGAAGGCCTGCTGCCTTCTGCCAGTGCAGGTTCTCTCTGGAAAGGAAAGAAAAGCTGGGTTTGGAAAACAGCAGTTTACATAGGATGCGACTTGTACATCTCTCTCCAGGGAGAAGGGAGCTCTTTCTAGAGCAGAGAAGGAAGAAAGGAATATAGGGTGAGTCTTCGAGCATACACAACTTAGAGCAAGTTGTGTATGAGCAACCATATGGATGAGAATAGGTGTTTTATATCCCTGGTTATTCTACTGCCTTCCATGATCCTAAGGGAATTCACAGCTGAGGAACAGACGAAACGAAGCCAAAGATCAAGACACCAGAACCTAATCCATATACATTGGTATCTACAAAGCTGAAACAACCCACTTCTGCAGCTCTAGAAACACCTGACAACTTTATAGGAGGGAGAAGGGGCCTGGGATAGTGGCTTTATGGCTTCAATGGCCAAATACAGAAGATAGGGCAATGTCCCTGTTTGAGAAATACAAGCTGTGAGCCTACACCACAGCCAAAGTATGACAGGACTTAGATCACCACCCTCATTGGCCTCTGTGGACTCAGAAGGCACAAAAGCCATGTTGTGAGTAAACATTGAGCTTGTCCAAAGAGAGTAACCACAGGTGGAAACTGCAGCTCAGAAACGTATCCTCATTAGATCATTAGAAATCCCATGGTTGTACCCTGAGCTGCCCCTGCTCAGTGTGGTTCTTTTCCACAGCCATTACAGAGTGGCTCCTGGGGTTTGGTCAAAGGTGGCAAATGCTCCTTGCTATTTTCTGTGGGAAGAAAAGTCTTGGAGCTCTGAACAGGAAAGGTTGAGTGCAGCTTCAAACTTGGGAATTCACTATGGATTGGCATCTCAAGCAGCTGCAAACTAAGGAAGTCATACACCCCTCTTTTTTTTTTTTTTTATGGAAGCAGATAGAAGCCTGCATATCCGGACATGGAGTTGAGGACGGCAGAGATGCCTGCTGTCTTGGTGCTCCTTTCTGGCCTTGGGGCCGAAGCCTTATCAGATTAAAAACTTACAGAGCTTGTATTTCTCACTCAAATAGAACAAGAATGGGCATGTCAGTCTGGAAAGGGGATTAACACCTACCACATGGTGCAAGATGGGATGCCAGAAGGCTTAAATAAGGAAGCCATAAAAGCAAAAACAAGAAGAATGGAAGAGATACAATTAAGTTATAACAATGGGGATTGTGCTAATGAAGAATAGCTGTGATGCAGTGAAGATTGCAGTAAAGGAAGTTCTGATATAAACCAGCATCCATGTGGAACAGAGGTGCTTGATAGTATGTGTTGCTCATTTATACCAGATGAGGTGAGTACTAGTAACACACCTGATAGGTCTAAAAGTCTTAGTTCAACTCTTTGCTGGCAGCCCCCAGTGGCAAATACACATAAGGCTGTGACTCAAAGGATAAATTCATTTTCCAGTGACAACTCGGTCACTGCTATTACTACCTCAGTACTGCATGCAATAATTGTACTTAATCAAAATAACAATTTTCATTTGTAGCCTTACAAGAAAAAAATCATGTTTCATTAAGCATTTGCAATTAATGATGAATTATGTAATACAAATCTATTACCTTCTACATCAGGGTCTCCAAATGGATTTAATTCTGCTGTGTCAGGATCACCAAAAGGGTTCATACTGGAGTTGGCCAGGTCTTGCTCCTCTTCGTCCAGAAAATTAAGCTTATTGATAAGCTCTAGAAACAGGTTGGAATATTGTTTTAATATTGATACAAACTGTTCATCTAACATATTTCAAGCTCAAAAACACCCCGTACCACCAGTCCCTCGAAACACTGCACCAGGGTATGGCACGAATTGCACAACTACGCTAATGCACTTCAGTTGTACACCAACAAAGGAGAAAAAAAAAAGTGAAATGAATTAAAACTTCTCTTCGCTGATCAGAACATTAAGTAACAGAAATGACTACTAAGAAAACCTTCTATTATCTTCATTAAATAAATGTTGCAGAACATCTAACTAGCTAAATACAGCAATTTCTTTTCGGTTGTTCACATACGTGTTAACTAACGGCAGGAAATTTTAAGTTTTGGATGCAACATGCACGTAAAATCAGAGAGGGGACATTTTGTCAAGTTAGAGAGGTCAAGTGTTATTGACTGCACAACTAATGTTCTAGGTTTGGAGTCTGAAGGGTTTTTTTTGTCATTTTTTTCTTTCTTGTTCATTATCAGATGACAACAGAGCTGTAGAGGACGTAGGCTTTTTCTCTATAGTGTTGTTACCTGTTGGAAGCACTACAAATTACTGAGAGTCATGCTGGGTGGAAGCACAGAGATAAAACTGACAGCTGAATACAAGCAGGAGTCAAAAGGTAACAGGTCACAGTAAATACAGACAATCAGAAACAGAAAGAAAGGAGGAAAGCTCTTAGACCTTCAGAGGAACTGGCTGATTTAGCTGAAGGCATATTTGCTCGCTTTATGCAGTCATCTTGATCTTCATCTAAGCTGCTCAGAGCATTCAACTGGTTTACAATTTCTGTAAATAGAAGCCAGTCAAGACAAACGTAAGGCAAGGGCATTTAATGACACAGAAGTGGAACTAACACTGTTACTAGAAAGAGAGTGAGTGAGGGAGAGAGAGGGTAAAAGAGAAGATACTCAGAGTTAATTAAAAGAATACATTTAGAACAAGTCCTTACAATGATATACCTACAGTAAAGCACCTGTATAGGTGTTTCAGTGATAATTTAACAGGAAACCCAGTTAACAGACATAAACAAAACTTGCCGGATTCCTGGTGTCAGCAACAGTAATTAGTTTTATGAGGATGAGTACACACATCAGTTCAAAACTTAGATGCATTAGATATAATTTAAAAACTTTTCCTGCTCATGAAGAAAATATGAATTTTAAACCATTGTCAATCAACACAAACCAGCCCCAGAACAATTTACCTCCCTCCCAAACCCTTAAGGCTACAGAAAACGAATACATACACATACATTTCATATAGTTTATTTATTTATACACACACACTCTGATTACTTAACATTTACAATCAGTCACCATTAAATTCTGACCTACAACAAGCTGAATTTATTTAATAGTTCTAAAAGATATGATCAGTATTGTGCTATGAGAATGCATGCTGAACATACATATTAGTTGACTTTGCCACTGTAATGCTATGCAAGTAACACCTTACTGCTTGGTAAAATCCTATTTCACCTTCTATCCATAGTGGAGAGCTCTGAATCGCCATGGACTAATAATTTTTAAAATGTATGAATGTTTAATTCTAGCCAAGACATTGATGCCTCCATAATTCTGGAAGGAAAGAAAGAAGCAAAAACCAACTAGGTCTTAGTGGCTCCTGCCCCAAGGGGAAAAATTCCCCTCTGATCCCCTCCTAAAGCAGTCCTATCCACAGCATCTGACAAATGCAGTTTCTGTAGTAATGAGGATTGAACCTGGGGCATCTCTGAAAGACCTCAAGCATAGGTTTCTGTGGAGAGGGGACAGCCTTCCTCGTCCTTTTGGCTGACAAACAGGCAGGAGAAACCCGTGCAGCAGAGGTGATTCTGTTTGTTGAATAACATTGCCCCTCTGACAGGTTTTTTCATCTCCTGTCTTTTCCCAATGAAATAAATGGATGATGTCTTCTGGTGTCACCAGTGAAGTTAAAGCTACGTAGATGCCTTTACTGCACACTTCTCATGCCAATCATTCTTGGATTTCTTTTCAACTCCAATTTCTTGTGTAGACAAGAAGTGACTTCTTTGTAACGCTTTTAGTTCGCTGCTGTTTTGAACTTGACTTCTTCTCATATGGCTTTTGTTTGGGAAAGCAAACATTTGTCACTGAATCTCATACGGTAATCTTCGTTCTAGGAACTAGTTACAAGGAGCAAGATATTGGACTGAAGTGAAAAATTGAGTAGTATTCTGACTGTCCCAACTCATGTTGGTGCCCACAGCCACCCAGAACTTCCTTAGCAGAGGGGACTCACGCTTTCTCACAGGGCAACACCTTCACCAGTTGACACACTGACACAACTCAATTTCATGCCTTCACAGACAACATAAATAGCCAAAAGCAGAGTCCAGAACCTGAAAATATTCCAGTCATACGGTTAAAAACTTCTTTTCCAAATTTAAGCTGCTTTGCGAAGACATGCCAATCTGCAAACTACCGAGTGAAATGATCTATTCTGCCAATATCTATTGGACAAAATCTATGCTGACAATGACAAAGCCACAGCAGAATTCCTCTTTAGCGCACCTCCTAACTGTTCTTGACCTTAAAGCAAAAATCTACTCAGATGGGATTACATTTATATCTATCTACACAGTTAATTTCACCATCCTCACTTCCTTATTTTTAGCTCCAACAAACAAGACTATTGTCCTGAAAAATAACACCAAAACTGCCCCAAAACTCTTCACTTCCTGAGTATAAAATCATATATACACCTTAGAGATCTGAACAATATAATACTATCTTCTGGGAATTTTTAAGACTTAAGATACACAATGGAAAATACCTTGCTGTACTCAAATAAAACAGAGTTGACCTTATAAAACACTAGTACAAACGAATTACAAGTTTAAAACAGGCTGAGATGCTGACATGATTTACAATTTATTATGCCAGCATGTGAAAAAAACCCAAAACAATTACAATTCTGTTTTTATTGTCAGAAAATAACAAATTAAGTTCAGAGCTTTAAAAAGAGGGAATTCTTTGATGTGGTCTGAATCACCTGGTCCCATCTGCCAACCTAAACACTCGTATGCACTACAATGTTTCTCATTACAATATCAAATGGTTTATGTCATATTTTGGAGTGTGGAAATGGTAGGTTGGAGATTTATGTCCTGTATTATCTTTTATAAATCTCATTATCTACAAACGTATACTAGCTTGTTCTACAAGTATGTCATATAAATCACTGGGTTTTTTTCACTCTTCCCTCTTGCTCTCCCTTTTTTTTTTTTTTTTTTTTTTTT